AAAGTAATACCGACACGCCAACATTCTTCGATGAACACTATTAAATAGTGCCACGAGTTGGACGCCATTTGGGAGGGTGATATCTTCCACCATTGTAAGCAAGACACTATCATCGGGTGAAGGAGAAGATAGAGTCCCGTCTCGAGGGCGTCACAGGATAAGCAAAAAGACCCGAGCGTAAGGTGGAATGGACGTTGACTAGGTGGAGGACTTGAAAATTGACTCGACTAGGATGGAATACTTAGCTGGTAAGTAATCCAAGAGTGGTGCACTCACCATTGAATCGTAGTCATGCGAGCTTTTCATGGACTCTAAGTCCCGAAGAGCCTTCGGGTTCACAAAAACTACCTCCTCGACGAAAGGGAGGTCGACACCTCCATCGCCCTTGAACTGTCCAAAGACGAAGCACAAACCTCGACCGTCTAGCGACCAATAGATCGAGAGGAGCTTGTACAAGAAAGGAGAGACATCCTGACCTAAGGAAGTGAAAGAGCAAGACCGATTTGTTGCAGAACCGACATCGAGACTACGAAGGACTCGAGGACTGACTCGCGCTGCAAAGAACCAAGATAAAGTAGAGAACACTTCTAAGGAGGCCCTGGAGGCTCAAATGGAGGAATGAGCCTCACCCACATGGTAGAGGGGGATTTACATGAGGGAGTCAATCTCTCTCCTCCCACGATTGAGACAAGTGTCCCTTTAGGATAATTCCGAAAGAATGACGATGGATGAAGGATTCGAAAAGTGTTGGATGAAGGACTCAAAAAGTGTCGAATGAAGGACTCGAAAAGCGCCAAAATCCAACACAGCGGGGGCATAAGGCCAAATGTGCTCGAGACGCATGGGTCAGGAAAACTTGACCAATGCGAGGAGAAATCTGTCACGACGGAGGCACAAGGCCAAATGTGCCCAAGATGCATAAGTCGAGAAAAATTGACCCGTGCAGGGGAAAATCCGCCATGACGAAGGTACAAGGTCAAATGTACCCGAGACGCGTGAGTCAGGAAAACTTGACCCGCATGAAGAGAAATTTGCCACAACGGAGAAGCATGGCAAAATGTGCCCAAGGCGCGAGTCAAGAAAACTCGATTCGTACAACAAGAAATCTACCATAACGGAGGCACAGGACAAAATATGCCCAAGGCACATGAGTTAGAAAAACCCGACTCACGTGAAGAGAAATCCACCACAACGGAGGTGCAAGGCAAAGTGTGCCCGAGATGCGTGAGTCAGGAAAACCTAACTCGCGTGAGGAAAAATTCATCACGATGGAGGCACAAGGCCAAATGTGCTCGAGATGCATGACTCGGGAAAACTCGATTCGTGTAAGGAGAAATCTGCCACGACGGAGGCGTAGGGCAAAATGTGCCCAAGGTGCGTGAGTTGGGAAAACCCGACCCGTATGAAGAGAAATCTACCATAACAGAGGTGTAGGGCAAAATGTGCCCAAGGTGTGTGAGTTGAGAAAATCTGACCCACATGAAGAGAAATCCACCTGACGGAGGTGCAAGGGACAAAATATGCCCAAGAAGTATGAGTTGGGAAACCCGACCCACATGAAGATAAATCCATCACGGACGAGGTATAAGGCAAAATATGTCTAAGGCGCATAAGTCGAAAAAACCCAACTCGCATGAAGAGAAATCCATCACGGGGAAGGTGCAAGGCAAAATGTGACCCAAGCATGAGTCGAAAAAACCTGACTAGCATGAAGAGAAATCCACCACAACAGAGTCCCAAGGCAAAATATGCTTAAGGGGTGTGAGTCGAGAAAACTTAACCCGGGTGAAGAGAAATTTGTTACAGCGAAAGCGTAAGACAAATTGTGCCCAAGGCGAGTAAGTTGGAAAAACTAAATCCGCGTAAGAGAAATCCGTAATGGCGAAGGCACTAGGCAAAATGTATACGAGGCACATGAGTTAGGAAAACCTGACCCGCGCGAGGAGCAATCTGCCACGACGGAGGCACAAGACCAAATGTGCTTGAGGCACGTGAGTCAGGAAAACTCGACTTGCATGAGAAGAATCTGTCACGACGAAGGTACAAGGCAAAATGTGTCTGAGGCGTGTGAGTCAAGAAAACCTGACTCGCATGAGGAGATCCTGAACGCACTCGTGTCAGATGAACTAAACATCGCACTTCATACCCCAAAGCATACCTTAAGATAGGACAAATGATAGAGAATATACTATTAGTCAATTATCATTCGACACATAGCCACCACATTGAGTCCTCAAAGGGAGGAAAAGATATAGGTCACCTTCCACTTGTCTACCCGTGAGGACAGGAGAAGGCAAGTAGTTCGAGGTTGTCTTCCCCTTATCACCCATGTGGATAAGACACCAAGAAGGGGATGTTAGAGCGATTATAGGTTGTCCCCCCTCTAAGGCTAGGTATAAAAACACGTCCCCAACAACATGAGAGGTTTTTACTTATTTTGACTACTCGTGCCTGCATTTACCCGAGGTTACTAACTTGAGCATCGAAGAGATCGGATTAGGAAATATTTTCCGACCTTGGTCTTCATGCAGGAAACACCTCGAGAGCACAATGTTTCCATTTCGGAGATACCTCGGACAACCTTGCACACATTGGTCCGGATCACTTCAGGCTGACCAAGACGTCAATGACTCTTTCCCCTAACACCACCAAAACATTATAAGCGTATTGAAAAATAATTATAATTAAAAAATTCAATTGATTTACCACGTGGACTTATCCACCAAAACCAGTGAAGTTGTTATTGTGGCTTGTCAAGGTACTTGGAAAAATATGGCAATAAGAAAACATCTATTGAAAAATATAAAAAGGGGAACAACTATTGGAAAAAAAAGCCAAAAAATAGATTTTTTCGTTTAATTGTCAAGGGTATTTGAAAAATATGGAACTAAAAGAACATCGATTGAAAATTATAAAAAGGGGAACACCTCTTAGAAAAAAAACCCAAAAAAAGGATTTTTTTTTTTCATTTGTCCATTTCCGCAAAAGTGGCAACATAGTCCAACAGATAGGATTCGTCCATTTCACCCGATGAGATAAGCTGATCAAGAAATCATTACCATTATAGTCCAACAGATGATCTACGACTAGCAAATATTCCAAGGACCAAGAAAGCGTGCTTCATCATGGACCCAATTGGTTTAATCATCGCTAATCATTCTTGGTGATCTCTCGTCAACTCAAGATATGGAATTCATTCTAGGGAGGCTGCTTAAGAATAGTTATATGTCTGATCATATGCATCATCAATCATCAATCATCAAAATTTATTCACATACACGTACTTATCCAGTGAACCGCCCTTAACTCCTCGAGCATAGTTTTAATACTGTGGAACTAGATCTAAACCCTCCGCTTGCTGACTCGAATTCTGTCTCAAAGTCGTCCTAGACTTGATGATACACCGGAGCCGGAAACCATTTCTAGGTTCAATCCTATTGCCAGAGAAATGTCCTCTCAGATGCTTTCCCTGAGAACAAAGACCTATTGAGAACCGACCAGGCAAGGTTGCTTGGTCCTCAAATAATTGGTATTACCATGTTACATACACCCTACTCAATAGGATATATGACCTCTGCCGTATATAAGGGCATGCAACAAATACCACCTTGCCTGATACGAAAATGTTACCACGTACAGTAGGATCCTATAGAAACATAACTTATGTAACGAGGAAGAACAAAAGCATCGGAGTGGCAGCAAATCTATATCGTCCCGACAAAAGAATATATAACTATCAAAATCCTCCTCTGCTGCCATTCTATCTTATTAAAAGATAGAAACCTTGCTATATCGGACATGTTCTATTCCTGTGATCAGAATACTAAATGCTAAATGCTTCAAAAACTTCAATATGATAAATCACAAATAAAACAAAATAAGCATTCCTGAGCAACTCTAGGTTACATATTTGAAAAGCATCATAGAGCCAATTATAAACTATGATCACATATTAATGTCATCTCTTAAGGATGCAACTTGTTATTCCTGAAGATTATTGCTAAATTTATCTCTACATTTTCCATGCACTAACCTGACAGTCAAGTACTATTAAAACAAGACCCAAACGATTTCAAGCCACTACTAAAATCCTAGCAAGAAAGTTACTTAGGCACCTCAGTTAGGTTAAATTAAAGGAAAAATTTATGAAGATAGTCATACATAATTGTAACATCAAATATCTAAAGTTCTTGATAAACAGCTCTGAAATCCATTTCAGAACATTATTGACACCATGTGTATATCACAATTTAGCTCTTTAAACCATAGTATCCAAATACTACACGGATACAGAATCTTATATACACAAATGAAACTCTTGAAAAGTTTTGGCAGAAACCTTCGTCATTTTATGGACAAAATTCCCCTAAAACATACTGTGACTATCATATATCGTTTCATGAGCAATCATATAGAAGATCATGTGACACTACCTCTATTTCATTATTGAACATTTTACTTTCCGACAGAACATTTGACAAGAATTTATCACTCTATTACAGTTTATTTCTGTTGTGTTTAAGATTTTATTATATTTCAAATAGTCTGATGCTAACTCTACAGGGTCCTTCATCTATGCAGTTGTCTTTGGCATCTTCATCAAGTCATTGACATGCATAGTTCTGTTGATGTTATCTCCCTTTATCCGGTCTTTGGTATAGCCTTTTGACCCTTTATTTTTTTTCCATCAAATTTCCCTCGATAACAACCTTCGGTAACAGTTCATTTCCAAAAATTAATAAGAAATTAGCAGTGCAACATGTAATTTACAGAAAACTAGTTGAAATTGATTGCCTGAGCTGCATGCAACGTACCGATGAAATAAATTTGAAGTGATAGAGAAGGATATTGTGAGTGACAACAAGTACCAAGCGGCATACTAGGAAGGAAGTTTATATTAAAGAAGAAAAACAGAAAGGTTACTGTTCTATTAATCAATAGCTAGTGGAAGTTTGCCGCTTCATATAAAGAAACATGTAGATATGACTTCAAAAAATTACCTTAGAATTGTTATGTATGCCATATTCAGTGAGCATAGAATTGTCATCAATGAGCTTCTCATTATGGTGAGCAAGGCAAAAATTTGCCCAGACATGCCTCCTGCACGGTAAATGAACCAGTACCAAAGCTTTAACAGATGGCAGGTTTTGGAAATTTTATAAACCAATTTCAGTGACTTGAAGAAATGTACATACACATGAATGATATTTTTAAATGTATCATCATAACCAAAAGGCGAAACATATACTCAAAATTGCACTAAATTTATAACCATATAATGTGCTTCAATTTTTACAAGGTATTTTGATTCACGAGTTTAACCAACAATTCCTTTTGTTTTTTAGCCATCATCTTGGATAGTAAAATTATTATATCAACATTATGATTTTTATATATTAGCTAAGAGCAACAGGGGAAATACTTGAGATGGGAACGACGAACAAGCTTTGGATAAAGTCAGGACAAGGATTCTTTTTCTTTTTCTTTTTTTAAGCTGAGGAGAAGGAAGGTCAACAGGGCTAGTTTAAACAACATACGAAAATAAATAAATGCACGTATAATAAGATGTAACATTTCTTGCTGCTCGAGATATCAAGAAGTCAGAACTCACAAAACTGATAAAAGTGATCTATTATCCCTTTGTATGAACAAGGTGATATGATAGCCACGATTTTTTCATGGAATAAATACCTGCTGATTTTTGAAAATTTTCTTGAAAGTTTTAGCTGAGAAAATGAAAGGATAGGGGAGGTACCATGAAATGTGGCGATGACCCATTTTGGCTTGCTCTATTTCATTTATTTTCTTCCTGATTGCTAATTTCAAATCCTTGACAGTAGCAGAGTTCAGAACTGCGACATCTTCAGAAAGGAAAGTGTGGTCATTTTAGATTAAGTCCCTTTAGGTAGAAACAATTGAAATAACATGGTAGAATTTTACCAAAAAAGCAAACAGCATCTTTCTTGCATGATATATTGAAACCCGCAATTTCCACCGAGTATGGATTACTTGACTAATAAAAAACATGCCTTAGCCTGATCTGAAACTATACGTGCATTGCTTCAAAATGAAATGAAAAAAAGTATCGATAGTTGTCACTTCTACGTTCTACTTTGGGACCTTATTTTTCAGCAATGATGCATCTATTAATTTGAGAAAAACAATGTGCTAGACAGGTTTTCCACTTTTGCAGTAATTAAAAGACAATGGAACACAGGACAAAGAAAAAGCTCCAATATGGTGAGGATCCTCGCCTATAAACAAGAATGATAATGAAGCATGTCACGATACTGGTACTATAGATTATCTTTAAGTATCAAGGATCTTAACTTCAGAAGACTGGTGGTAATTACTTCAGCCACTCCATAAGCACATGGAATGAAAGAACAAATTCTACCGAAAACCAAGAACAAGACCACGTACCAAAAGAGGTATTGTCCACCTTAGTGACAGATATTTTCATTGCACTGCCGAGCTCCAAATTTATTAAGGTGTCAACATCTGCAAGTGTAGGTTTCTTAGGAACATCGAACAATATCGGATCATCCAGAAGAGCTGAGAGCATAGACTGTAGCTGGGCTTTCTTGGCAGTGATGCTGCTGTAACCAACATTTTCCTCGGTTTTGGACCCTGATTCCATCTCTTCAGAACAACATCCTACAGGCATCAGGTATAACATCATTTTGCATCAAAAATATTTCTATTCTATATCATTTCTTCGGCTATAATCAGCAATCAACATTCTACATTCCGTAAACAGGAAATTCTGAACGAAGGCGGCAACCCTGTTCAGATTTGTTCTCGGAAAACAGTTGTTAGGCATTCACCAGTTCTCTATTGTTCCCGAAACATCAAAACAGGCCCAAGTTGCTTGAGGAAATCCATCACAACCCACATGAAAACGACAGAAAGGGAGAATAGGAAGGGCGGACGGAGCCGAGGGCAAGGAAGGACATCGAAACCCGCTCGTTTCGGGGGGTGAAGAACACGGTGCCGCTCTCGTCACCGACGAAGCACCCGGAAATCATAGCAGGCTCGAGCGGCGTTGGCCGTGTGGAGGAATCAAGAGGAACGAAGAGAAAGGCAGGGTGAGAAGCGATCTGCCATGGGGCGGGCCATTTGTAGTGGCCCGTGGGCGTAGGGCACATAGTAAGAGAGGGCAAGACGCTTACCGGCGGCGAACTGTGGGAGGAGAGCGAGAGGGCGAGGAGCGGCGGACTGCGATCGGGCAAGCGGTGGAGTGGGAGGAGAAATGCGGATGATTTTGCTTGTGTTTGTTATATGATCACTTTAATCAGGAAACAGTTTTCGAAAACAAAAACAAATTTTCAACTACGCACGATTACATTTATATGCTAAAGTCAAATTAATAATAGAGGTCATAGTGGTCTAAGTCGTGACGTGTCACCTAGGGATGTCCTTAGGGTTCAATAATAGGTGGATCATTAACCTAAGATACTTAATCTCATAAATCAATCCAAGTTTTTATAATATTTTCTAATTAAAAAACTAATTATTACTCGGATTATTATTGAGCTCGAGCTCGAGTGCGTTAGAATATTTTAGTGCCCATTGGAGTGGGCTTTAAGAAGATATTTGATGTTGGCAAGTCTCTTGCAAAGGGCTACCAACATGGCAACTAGATTCAACAATTATTATTCTTGTGTGGGAATCTTTCGAGGGTGAAGCAAAGCTCAAATTAGATAATAAAAACTTCATTTATGAGGCGACGAAGAAATTTTTAATTTAATATTACTAATAGATCCCTCGATAGTGTTTTATTTTTCATAAAGAGATAAAGTCATTTGTGGTAGAAATTATATGAAAACATATTATTTATATTTATCTAAAACTATCATAGTGAAATAGCAATAATGGTATAAAATAAGAAAGATTATAAGGAATATGGAACCTACATCTCAAAAAGCAAAGCCGTCTGGTGCCAATTAGTCAAAAGGAAAAATAAATTTGAAGGAAAGATTTTAATATTTTGATAAATATTCAAATATCACATCATCCTCCATCCAAGCTAAGTTCTCTTTGTTCAACAAATGATAAGCGCTCTTGGAAGAAGCTTTATCATTTGGATTGAAAGTCAAACCTATGAAAAGTATTAATTTTTAAATAAAGATTAGATGTAACATTTTTGGAGTGCTGAAGAATTGCATGAATTGGATATCAAAGGATAGATATTTAGTTAGTCATTTAGATTGAAAATTCTTAATAATCCATAGTTTTTTTTTATAGTGTACCCATCCACTTTTTAAGACCTGATTTAAGTTTGTCAATAAGTAAGTTTTTCCGAATTAGAATATATATATGAGGGTTTTATTTTAAATTTCAAGAATTGATTATATTATATTTAGCGATGATAATTTTAATCCTTAGAATATATTTCTGGTTAATCAAATGAATAAATCTTTTAGTACAAATTTTTCTTCTTGACCGTATGGAGGTCTCGAATACCCAAATCACCATTGCACTTAGAGGAAGTGACTTTGTCCTATGCAATAAGGGTTTTTTTTTTGTTATTATTTTAATATTGTTGAAAATTTAATTAAAGAATTTTATGTTCATAAGAAAGCAGATAAGAATCAATCGAATTGATAACGGAATTGATTAGCATGATTTTACAAGTAATTAAACCTTTTATCATAATCATGAATCCTCGAGAGGACTTTATCTACCAAAAAATTGAGGAGAGATTTATAATGTTACAAACTAACTACAAGATTAATTGGAGATGTATTATGATTTTGACGGATAGATACATTATTAATTTGTGATGTGCATCGTATATTTTTTTTCCCAACTATCCATAATCCTTAGTTTTTGTTATATGTTAAAATTAAGCTCTTTTAGTGAGACAAAATTGGAGCAAGTTTTTTTTTCTCAATTGCATCAATCTTCCTTCAAAATTTAGTGTTTTTATATTTTTTATTCTCATAAATTTATATGTGTATTGATTGTATGATAAGTCGTTGATTACTTTAGCCTCTCAGTATATTCAAATACTATAAAGGCTGGCCCACTAATTTAATTGAGACTAGATCATTAATTCAAAATATTTAAAGTTAAATTATAGTAATTTAAAGTGAGTCAATCTGAATCTTTTGACCGCTTATAATGTGGAACCGTAGGAGAATAATTTTTTTAACCCAATGGTAAAAAATTTATATCCATATTATGATGACATTTCTCATTATTTTGATTAAAAATAATTATATTTTTAGTATAAGTTTAGTTGTCGTTCGGATCTAACGAAGGTCGATTCCAAGTCAGTCTCACTCTATTGCATTGTTTGTATAATATTAAATATATAAAATTAAGCTGGAAGCATTTTCAATAAATATCTCTTTGATGATCAAGTTAATTATTGAGTTCGATCCGTTTAATTTGATCAGATCGATCATAGAAGTAGTGTCGATGTTCCTTTTATATGTGAATATAAGGATGATTATGCTTGTTTTTGTTAGGATAAAATCTTTAAAAATCTCGTCTTCAAAAACTTTCGTACGATAAAATATATTTACGTTAAAAATAATTTCAGAAACTTAACTTAAAAGCATATGGAAGCGTAGTGACTAAGTAAAGTAGTTTACAGTATGTAAATGGCAACAATAGAAATGTAAACCAAATTTTAGAGTGGTTCGGTCAACGTGACCTATATCAACTTTCGGCTTCCTCCTCCGACGAGGTCACCGACGTCCACTAGAGGTCTTCCTTCAATAGGCGAAGACCAACCACCATTTATACCCCTCTTCTCCTTTTCACGGGTTTAGGAGACAACTCTTACAAGCACTAACACTCCTCTTACAGAATTCTAAACTTAGAGTGGAGGAGGAAATTTCTAAAGAGATTACAGTAGCATTTTCTCACTTTTGAATACTTAGTGCTTGTGTATTTTAACCAAGGATGAGAGGGGTATTTATAAGCTTCAAGTTGATTCAAACTTGGGGCCTAAAAACATCTCATCTCGAGTTTCCCGAGCACGGGCGATACCACTACCTATGCTGGGCGATATCACCGCCAGTGTTAGTCTGACATTGATACTACACTAGGCGATACCACTGCCTAGGGTGCTGTGTTGGGCAGTACCACTGCCCAGACTGGCGGTACCACTGCCTAACATAGTCTCGAAGATTGTGTCACGACGGTGAGACTTCTTGGGGCATTGTTTGGGCCTCTCATTGGGCCCAACACAGTTTTTACATGGGCCTAGCTGGCCCCTAATTAGGTTGGCCCAAATCCAAACCCAATTACGTGCTAACTATAAAATCTAAACATAATTTGAGCTAAACAAGTCCATAAGTCTATTCTTCTAGCGAGCTTCCGGTGAACTTCAGACGATCTCTCAGCAATGTTCCGACGAACTCTTGGCAAGCTCCTGGACTTCATGACGATCTTCTTGGTGAGTTCCGATGAGCTTCTTTGGCAAGCTCCAAGACTTCTTGGCTGGTTTTGTCAGAACTTCCGACGAATGTCCGGACTTCCAACGAACTCTCGAACTCCCAACGAAGTCGCGTCCTTGACTCTGGGACTTCATTTTGCTTCATGCCTTGCTATCGTAGTTAATCCTGCACATGTAAAAACATACTTCGATCTAGACAATTAATACTAAGCATTAATCATGTTGTCCGGTATGTCATTGGTCCCTCGACGCTTCGTCTGATTCTTCGGCACATCGTCCTCTCTTGCGGCCTATTGCCCAATCAGCCAGTTGACTCCACAACTTCGATATCCTTGGCGCAATATCCGCTCTTCTTGGCCCGATGCTTGAATCCATGGCCCGAAGCCTTATGTCGATACGTTAATCGATCCTCTGGCTCGACGTCCAATCTTCTGACATGTTTTCCTCCGGCACAACATGATTCTTCCTGCTTTAATTGTCTCATCCTGATTGAAGCATCCTGCGTCACTCAAAATGCAGATTAAATCATAAACACTTATCAATTGGTTTCATCATCAAAATATGAGATTCAACAATCTCCTCCTTTTTAATGATGACAACAAATTGATGACGGAGTTAACCTCAACTCCCGGAGTTTAACCAAACTCCCCCTATCAATATGTCATATTGATAGAAACTCTTGGATTAAAAAATCCAAGCAATATGTCATGATCAAATCATGCATGACATCAACATACTTCTCCCCCTTTGTCATTAACAAAAAGGAGAAGTTCCAACTAATGTGTTTGAGATATAAATTCAAATCATTGCATAAAAAATATGATATCAAGTTTTATCATCATGCAATTTGAAGCTAGAAAATTTTAGCAAATGTCACATCATGCTTAGAACATTCAAGCTATCAAATTATAGATATGCAAGGTAGTAAGATAGCATGTTCTATATCATACAAGCTAGCAAAATTTCGAAAGCAAATGCAAGATAGCTTCTGGTTGAAGTGTGCAAGCTAGTGATTCTTGCTTCCTATTGCAATATGCAAGTTGCAAGTTTTGCTTCTTGAGATAGACAAGATAGTGATGTTTCAATAGAGTAAACTCTTTCTTCTCTCTTGAGAAATACCCTTTTTTTTTTTTTTTGCTTCTTTTGCAAAGTGCAAGCTAGCAAATTTACTTTCTAGCAAGTTTTGCTCCCCTTTTGTCATTGTCAAAAAAAAAAAGGAAGACCTTTTACATCAATTTTTAAATTATGACAAAGGTAAGGTAATCAAGTTGTGAATATCAAAATATTTTTTTATTATGAATATTTCATCATTGCATGCATCAAAATAATATCATGAGTGTTTCATGCATTTATATCATCACATGAAGAATATTAAAAAGAACTTGGTGATGAGATATACTTCATAAATTCAAAGAATTTTACATAATAAAATTCAAATCATAAACTTTAAAAGATGTCATGAGAGAACACATAAACGATCTTGATTCATGTATAATATCTCTCAATTCATTATGAATTATAAAAATTATAATTCTAAAAAATCATGATTCATTTGGACAAAAAGATTATCGATTCATGTATTTGAATAAATATTTTTAAATCATCACTTCAACTCATCATGCATAATTTCAACATGTAAAATCATTAAACATGATACAATCATTTATTTTCCAAACATTTATCATAATTTTCAACTCATTCAATTTGTCAAATTAACACACTATCATGAGTATTTCATGATTTCATAATCACATGACAAGAAATCAAAATGATGATTCATATAAAAAATATCATGATTTATATTCAAGAGAAAAATCATCATTCATTTTCAACTCCTTCAATTTGTCAAATCAACATTGCTTAGAT